TAAGATTCAGTCATCATCAGGAATGATGCTAGGTTACATTACATCGATATATATATATATATATATATATATATATATATATATATATATATATATAGTGAAGATTAAGTAATTTGATATGTACAGAAATGATTAGTTAAATATTACAAGTTCTTTTGATGCCTTAGTTCCGTGATTAAGATCAGGTTTAAGTCGTCTAATGGCAAGTGCTTCCTTAAATAGCAATAAGGACCAATGATCAGCGAGTTGGGTTAGTTTCTTCGTTTGGATACAGTTCTAAAATAGATTTGATATGTTGAAAGTGTTCGCATGATGTGATGTGGTTAAAGACTTCAGATTTGTTATATTATATTATATTATTAAAATGTTTATTTTCGGAGTTACCGTTGTTTTATATTTTATTAAAATACTCAGTGGTTCCCGTAATACTTCCAATGCTAAAGTTATTATTTCTAGTATAATTATTCGAAGTTACTTAGCACCTAAATAGTAAAATAGAAGCAACTAATAGTTTTCTGCATAAGCTGTGTATAACCCGAAAGTGGTGTTTTATTCAACATAACAATGTTAGCAAAACTGACTTAAATTGATTGATTGATAATAGTATTTATTCAGGAAAACCAACATCACAAGTTGTGTTTTTCAGAAGGTCCCTGAGAAAACTATACAAATACAAAAGATTATACAATAATAATATGTATGCAGGTTATATGCGATGTATATATATAAACAAGAAAAATCAGTCTAAAATATAGAACTAAGATAATTATATATTACAAAGAAGAGATATTTGCAAAATGCGTTCGATTATACTATGGAGATTTAAGAAGTGCAGTATGAAAACTAGCTAGATGGTTAATTGATATAATGTTTTTGTTCAAATCATTATACTCCGTACAAGCTTGGTATAGAAGTTTTTGCTTTCCCCAATTGGTACTAGGTTTGCTGTGATGAATGTAAATGCATCTGGCCTGCACTTAAGTTCCAGTGGCACATCTCTCCTAGCTAAGAATTTAATTGCATGCATAAATAATTGACTAACCATTCAATGCAACACTAGTAATACTCAGTGGCGTAGCCAGGGGGGGGCGACCACCCCCCCAATCACAAAAAAACCCATTCTCTGAAAAAGGCTAAATCCATAGAGAAATGGGGGTGGGTACACGTTACATCTTCGAAGCTGAAACTGATTAAGTACGTCTCGACTTAGGAAAACGACGATATACTGGAGGAACTTGATTTGTAAAATCTCAATAAAGCAGTTGTAGATATGGTTCCAAGAAGAATAGATTTCGGTTTAGATTTACGTATATATGTATGCAGTATGCATTATCATAGCGTGAATATTCTTCTCAGACTTATTCTGTATTGTATAAAAAACAACACAATTTTGAGAATACAGAAATGCTCTCTCATAGAACTTAGAATGATTCAAATGCAACATTTCTGATCAAAATCACATTGGGATTTTCTTCCCCAAACATCACAGAGGGGATATAAGGTGATGCTGACCGGCTCTTCCTGTTTTTCAAGGTGACTTTTCCAATTTACTTAATTCCGTCCAGTAGAAAATTAGAAATGTCTGGGGAAAATTTATATCTTCGATGTACTTTATAATCTTCGGAGTTCTGCAAGATTTCACCCCCCAAAATGCTTGAAATCGCATTTCAGGGACTCTAGATTTCAAAATTCTCCTGGGGGAGCATGCCCCCAGACCCCCCTAAATGGTCTTGTGCCTACCCAAAAATGAAGCTCTGGCTACGTCACTGGTAATACTACTATTTTCCTATCTCCAAGCCACCATGTCAACCCCAGACTTAGCAATACTAAAACTACTGCAGCAAATCATGCATAACATAACCAATATTCCAGAGCCAATCGGATGTCAAGCAAACATGCTTAATTCCAAAGATTCAAGGATTTAAAATGGAAAATCTTAATATTACCAGCCTAGTTAAGCATAACAATGAGTTGAGAATACACATGTATGAACAAGAAGTTGATGTCTTAGGTACAAATGAAACAAGACTTGACTCTGACTACCCAACAGATCTCATCTGTGTTGATGCATATACATGGATTGCCAAAAATAGGAATTGATCAGCAGGGGGTGTAGGATTCTCTATCAGAAACACAACAAATTTTCATGAAAGACTCTATTTAAACAACAACAAAATTGAAACTCTTAGTATTGAAGTTCTAAAACCTAAAGTGAAACCATTTCTCATAACCACCTGATAAAGACCACCAAATTCAGCTACTGACAAACTCAATGAATTTGAAAAACTACTGCAACATATTGATCATCAGAATGGGAGATATTAATATTGACCTTGCTAAGAAAATCAGATCATAATGTGCATCGTTTAACCACAAAAAAATCACATGGTTCGTAATGCGATGAAAAACACCGTCGGCATTTAGCCGTGAATGATATACAATATTATCTTGCTGCAATTTTGAAAATACAACCAAATTAATTTTATCCGGAAGTAAATATTTGTCGTAGAACAATCGATATTGCTCGATACGTACCGGACCAACACACACACCTGCAGTTTTGTACACGTTCGTAATTTTGTCAGTTGTGTACAGTTCTGTTAGGTCAGCGTTTCTATTTACATTTAGTACTTTGTATCGGTTGTCTTTTTGCAAAAAGGATTTACCCACAAGTAAAGCATATGCAAAACAGCTTTGCTTTACATTACCTGCAACCACCTGAAATACCCCATTCCTAATTTCTCGCCCATGCTTCTGTACCGTATGACGTGCACTACCCGCTTCACGGGGATTTTTACCTAAATGTCTATACATTTTGCTACGTATAACTCGACGACGTTTTTGCATGGGTCGCACGTAATTGTTGGGGAAAATATAGATACTTGCGAGACTTTGCCACCCATTTTTGATCACCTCTTGTGCATTGCTTTGCATCATGTGTCGTTCAAAAATATTGAAAAATAATTGCGGTGTAAAATCTTCAACATTAAGAATAGCCGTGGAAAACAGGGTTCTCAGTGCCTTAGCAATATAGAAACATGCTTTGTTCTTTACCGAATCAGCTTTGTATTTCATAATATTTATTAAAATATTCAAAAAACTCTACGCATATTACTGAGAAAATCGGGTAGTGTACTCATGTTATTACTACCCACATTAATATTGTAAATATATTCGGCATGATTAAACCGTATATTTACGCGTACTAATTCCGCATTAAATATTTGTGCGGGTACACGTCTGTTTTGAGTAGTACGAATCATACATACTATTTCGAAGCTATTTCGCGAAACGTCTTCGTTCTGCTCATCATTTTCATCTTGTTTTCGTTTTTGCGACACTTCACTCGTCGATGCCGCCATAATAGACAACAACACTTTCTGTAACGATTCGCTATGTCTTTGTTGTCGTCTATCTTAACACCACTATCTGTAACATTAACATTAACATTAGGACTATGATTAACGCTTACAAACGTACAATCAAACGTCACCAAGGGTGTATCATTACTACTCGCTGCACACATTTTTTGCCCCATTTTATACAGACATGTGAACAAATCAACATCACATAAGTAAATGGAAGACAACCTTGAACACATCAAAATACATTTGAAGGACGCAAACAGTAAAAATTATTGCGCCTATGAATTTGTAGACAACGACCGCAATCTGCTATTCTCACCCGATATGTTCAAAGATTGTCTCGAACTATGGTGCCGCAATCATCTTAATGCCATAATAAAAATCACCATTTATGAGCTAAAACAAAGGCTGAAAGTATTCCGCTCCAAAGTGGACGTACCACCTGATATCGTTGCAAAACTAGAAAATGCAATCAAATATATAAAAAGACATGAGAAAGAATACGCAGGCATTTCCTTAGTATGCTAAAATGGCAAGAACAAAAGACACCGCGACGACAACATTTTGTACTTAATTTGCTTACACAATCTCGGCATAAACCCCGTCATTCCAGAACACAAAGTATCCGTAAATTACAACAATGTGTAAGCAATACACAAACAGAGCGATGATGTCGAAAACGGGACGGCACATACAAACAAATGCTGGATACATTTGGCAAAACAAAATAACCTACGTATAAAACTTTCAAACGTGGCGGCTGCAGGCAAGAGATTTTTTACGTGGAAAAAACCATTTCAACGAGGTGATATAATTTCCAAATACACAGGTCGAAAACTTACGAAAAAACAATTGGACAAAAAATATGGCGAGGGCCGTGCCGATTATGCTGTTTGTAATAATCGTGGTCGTTGTGTTGACTCAACATATACAATGGATGCTGCGGCACGATTTATAAATGACAGTCGTGGAACATCATTTCAAAATAATTCCAAAATAAAAGGGCGACAAATGTTCAGATTAAAAGCGACCAAAAAAATACCCGCAAACCATGAAATATTCACATCGTATGGTGACTCATATTGGGGAAAGATATTTCTCACTCTCGCTCATGCTACTGTAGGCATATACATAATTTAAATCAATCACATTTTTTTAAAACAGCAACACAGTAATATGGCTCGTTATCAAAAAGGTGGGAATTTCAGAGGTAAAAAATATCAACGTAGTAAAAAACGTGGTGGTTATATTGAGAAGAAAATCAAGAATTCAAAAATCGGTGAACAATTGAAAAAAATCATCAATGTTTGTAACAGACTGGGTAATATACTCATACCCAAAACCAAAACTAAGAAAACCATACAAAGTGGTAGCAGTATCGGTCACAGTGTACGTTATGTACCTCCACGAAGAGTGAGAAACACTATACCCATTGCTAAGCAAATTATGTATCAGTAAAATGTAAAGAAAATAAAGTGGGAAAAAATAAATAATACTCACCAAACAAAAATCTGTCTTGCTTTTTCTCTCTTCCCATTAGTCACCACAAAAATGACGTGTTTACTTCACCGAGGCATTCCATGTTAGGGTGTCCAATAGGAAATCACAACATACATACTTATATATATATATATTTTTTTATTAATTCAAATCTTACAGGAAATGCATAAATCAATCATCAATACCAAATTTGGTAATCGACTTTAAATTTTGAACGTTTGTATATAAAAAAATGTCATTTTATCATGATATATTCACAACATTAATTCACATCAAATTAAGTATCTTAAATTTCGAACAATGCCATAACAAATAGCTAAGCTGAATCATCTCACGAACTGATAGTCTCTGTTGTCAGCGCTTGCTTTTTATACAGCATGCTTTTGAATTCACAAAGTTGTTTTGCACCGGGATAATTTGCATAAGGAAAATTCGGTTTATTATAATCGTTGTAACATGTCAACGCAGCCACATATGGACGTATTGCTTTATTCATTGAGCATCGTTTTCCACCCAAACTAAATGTCCCATCATAATATTCCTTAGCCACATAGAAATGAGACAAAACCCACAGCTGCATAATTGACAAAATCAATGATTTTTGAACAGGACGTAATATGTCCATGTGAATATGTTCTGGTATGAAACATAATTGTAAAGTTTTTCCAGAATAACGTCTTTTAAATTGTAACACGCCAGAGATTGTTCGAGAAGTTTCACCCCAGTACACAATAAATTTGTAAAATGCAAGTGGTCTACAGTCACTATGTACCCATCGATCCAATAATATTTTCAATAGTTTAACATTGGACGCTTTCGTTTAAAAAAAATGTATGTGTGCTAACCATTTCTATATAGGGTTTTGTACCGAGCAAATCTCTCTTGTTCAATACCAATACTAAAATGACGATTTGATACCACATACATTAGTTTATCAGTGAAATGTCGAAATAAATTTCCGACATCCGGTTATATGTAAATGCAAACAAAACACAATTTTTTTCGTGCACAATCTTTTGCAACTTTCCCACATAATTTTTATCACTTATACATACAAAAGTTAATATTTTCAAACCTCCATCATTCAATTCCGCTATATAATATACTTCATGCATATATTTCAAAAACAACATATGCAAATCATAAGAGCAAAGCATTTTTTTTTCTTATACCCAATACATATATTTATTAAAAAAAGTATTCACATGCTTGTGATACTCATCCTCATTAAAACATCTGTGTCTTATCTATTTTACTAGCTAATGCTCTATAAGCCTTGTCACGCATCTCATCAAACTCTCCATCAATTACAAATATATTACAGGGTATACTTTCAAAATACAATTCACATGTTACATACATATAATCTTTACAGGGTTTCGTACAACTCACACATTCATCTAACAAACGTAAAAAATCTTTCAATTTTTCATTACATATCTTACACATAAGTATATGTTCTAAAAGTTTTAATATATATTCACTATCTAATGGTGTTTCAGAAAAAATCAAATGACCGTCTTCATGCTTAAATGTACGATATATCAAGGGTTCATCACATGTAAATGCACACATCCTATGTCTGACATCCCCATAAACAGTAGAATCAAGAGCCAAAACTAATTGTTTTAATCCCACAAAAATTGATAAATCGGCTATAACTGTTGAATTATCATCATGACATGGTCCGCATCCCACATGAAAATAATATTTATCAACGTGTAGATATTTGGCTATCATATGACTTTGGCATTGTACAAGTTTACAGTCCGAACGTTTTAGAATTTGTCGACAGCAAAACTCGGAAGACATCAAAACAAAAATTTTTTACCTTGTTCACGACAATCCGTTGCACCCATTCACGAGGAATCCAATACATTTCAGTATTGCCATGTTGACGAATAGTTGCATATGCCGACCAACACTCTTCGCTGTCATCATATGCCAATATATCGCATATCGATCCCATCATTCCACCAAGCCATGGACAACAGACAACAGTGTGGAAGGAAACACAAGCAGCCCAAGCAGCTGAACAACTCATATCAAATTACCTAGGACTGTCCAATGACCTTATCGAAAATTTACCCAGCGACCTCTTCCTCGATGAAATAATCACACAACACCCCCAACACTACTACCACCCCCACCACCCACATCTGCTGCAACATCAACACCTTCATCATCCCCACTGCCACTGCCAGCAACACTACCCACCAATCCAACCAGCAACTCTAGGTCATAAAAATATTCAAATCACGAAAGAAATACATACCGCCAAAATCTGTGAACAAACGTAGACGTATAGCTAATATAACACCACAAACAAATGAAAACAAACGAAGTGCTGGCAGACCGACACAAAATGAAACGCTGTCGAACATTGCAAATGAAGATCAAGACAATTACAAAATCACCGCTCAAGAACTTATCTTATATGCGATGGACGGGAGTGAAAAAAAGAAGAAAAAAACAATACTAACATGAAGCAAAGAAAAAATAAAAGTACACAATATGAAACACCATAGTTATGAGTTTCTTACGGACTATAGAAAAAAAAGCTTTAGATAAGATAAAAGAACAAAAAAGTATATTAGAACAAGTCCTGTATATGGAAAAAATGTTAGAAAGGTATTTTTGGTGAAAAAATTGTAAATAACTTAATATTTTTTTAATAATTTTTTTCAACTTATCCCAATGGCATTCTTATTGCCCCTCATCACTCTCATGTACCCCTTAATTACCCATCATTTATCCATTATCCATCATTAGCCACACCTAAATTACCCATCAGTATCCCTCATCCCTCCGCATACATAATTATCCTTCATTATCCATCATAATACTGCACTCCAATTGGTCCATTACATGAGTTTTAATGTTTTGTTTTAATGTTTACAAAAATGTACAAAAAAGATTATATGTTGCATTACCTGCAAGTAGCCAAGCTAGTCATGGCAGGCAATGAATTTAAATGTAGGTAGTTTAAGTAAGTTTAGAAAAATATTTTTACAAATAAGGGAAGGAAAGTACATAAAGTTAATTGATTATGAAAAATATTGTAATTTTAAATACAGTATTACAGATCTAGCATTACAGAGAAAAGGCAAGCAGCTGAAACATCCTTATCTAGTATTCTATCTCAAAAGATTTAGGGTAATTTAAACCATCATAGTTACAATTGGCAATCTTGCTATTATCATGGGCACATCAACATAGTGATTCTCAGTTGTAAGAATTGTAAAGAGGGCCTGGCACATTTTGTGTTTAAATATATTTTTACTTTTTGAGCGAAGGCCCTGGTCAATACTATTCCAAATTTCCGCACCAAGTCGAGAAAACGAACATTTCTGAAGCTCTAGGCGAGAATATTTTATATAAAAATTATCTTTCTTCGCCGCTCTTGTATTATAATTATGAACCTCAGATGTTTTTTTAAAAAGTTCTTGTAGAGTTGTTGGCGAATCTCCGGTTGATATATCGTATAACATGTTGGCAGATTCTTTGATATACATCAAATTAATAGGAAGAGAATTTGAAGAAACAAACAAGGGAATTGCATGATTATCAAATGATTTAAAATACATCAGACGTAAAATGCGTTTTTGTAATATAAGAAGTTTCTTAATGTGAAATTTGGCAGCATTTCCCCATGCAGACAGTCCATACGAAAGATAAGGTAAAATTAAGGACCTATATATATCTAGTACGGTATGATTTGGAATAAAATATCGCAATTTTGAGATAATCCCAACATTTTTACTAATCTTTAATGCAATATAGTCAATGTGATAATTCCAACTTAAGTGGCAATCAATAATGATACCAAGATACTTTATGTATTCTTTGCATTCGAGTGGTGTGTATTGCTTAGAATTATTATCATACATGCTAATTACTGGATGATAATTTACTGATTTCTGGTGTGGGCGAAAAATAACAAAATTTGACTTTTTTATATTAAGCGTCAGTTTGTTGGTATTAAGCCATTTGCAAACATTATTCAATTCAGAATTTACAACAGATTCAAGTGTTTTCAAGTTTTTATTAGCATATAGTAGGTTGGTATCATCCGCAGAAAGAAAAAAATTAAAAACGTTTGATGACTCAGAAATATCGTTTATGTATATTAAAAAAAGTAGAGGCCCAAGGACTGATCCTTGAGGTACTCCACACAAAGTGGTTTCTCTATCAGATACACAGTTTCTATTAATCAGAGTTGTTTGAGAGCGGTTTTTTAAGTAGGAAGAGAACCAGTCATTTACCACTCCCCTAATACCGTAATGATTTAATTTACCCAACAGTATATTGTGGTCTACCGTATCAAAGGCTTTCTTCAAGTCTATAAATATACCGCAGGAATAAAGTTTATTATCCATGTTAGTTTGGATTTTGTTAACAATGTCGAGAATGGCATGTTGTGTAGAATGTTGTTGACGGAAACCATATTGTGAGGGACACAAGATATTTTTCATATTTAGGTATTTGTCTAAACGTTTATACACGATTTTTTAAAAATTTTTATTAAATACCGATAAAAGGGATATGGGTCGGTAATTATTCAGTTCAGTTTCATCCTCCGCTTTGTAAATTGGAATTATTTTCGCAATTTTGAGTTTATTAGGATAAATTCCAGTTTCAATCGACCGATTAAAAATATCTGCCAAAGGTTTGCTCAGAATGTGTTTTGCACATTTAATAATCCCCGAAGGGCATGAGTATAAACCCTCAGCTTTTTTGGTTGGTAGTGTGATAATTTCAAGTTCAATATCTCTTTCAGTTATCGGAATGAAAACAAATGAATCTAGTTGAGATGTGTAGTTAAGGCTATTTGTATGTTGAAGGTAATCAAGATACGTTAATGTTAACGGTCTCATTGCGGCTCTTCAAAATGCTAATTGGAATGATGTTTTCATTAACTCTTTGGATACAATAGATTCAGTATATGACAAATGGTTAAATTTACTCAATTCTATTATTGATGTCTATATTCCCAGTAGGAGAGTTACTATCAGACCTAAAGATAAACCATGGATGAATAGTTTGATTCGCAGAGCTATCCGTAAACAAGATCGTCTTCTTAAACTTTTTGGCAAAAACAAAATACCTTTTTGTTGGGAACGTTATCGGGCTCAACGCAATTTTGTTGTCAAATTAATTAAAAAAGCTAAATTTGATTATAAACAAAAAGTTAATTCTTTACTAGCAAATCCAGTGACATCACCTAAAAAATGGTGGAATATAGCAAAATCGCAGTGTGGAAACAAATTGTGCTCTTCAATTCCTGATCTATTGGAAAACGACATGAGAATTTCAGATTCCAAACTGAAAGCTCAGATATTTAACGATTATTTTGCAAATCAATCAACTTTGATCAATGCTTTATGTGGCTCCTGTTCCGTCCTTGCCCACTTCACCTTTTTCATTGTCTTCAATTGTTGTAAATGAGTCTGAAGTTTTATGTATTTTATATCATTTAAATGTTTCTAAAGCATGTGGTTTTGACAACATTAGTAATAAAATACTTAAGTTATGTGCAGATGGAATTTACAAACCACTGACTCGCTTTATAAACCTTTCATTATCCACTGGTAAATATCCCGAAAATTGGAAAATGGCTAATGTTATTCCTTTGTTTAATTAAGAAGGAGAATAAACAATTTAAAACTAATTATCGCCCAGTTTCTTTATTAGTAAGTTTATCAAAAGTGTGTGAAAAACTTGTTTTTAAATAGGGTCTATGAATTTCTTGAGGTCACCGTTTTTTTCTATCGTTTTCAATCAGGCATTCAACCCAGTGATTCAATAGTTTTCCCAGCTGGTATATATTATCCATAAAATACACCAAGCTTTTGAAAAAGGTCATGAATTACGTGCTGTGTTCCTAGATATTTCCGAAGCTTTCGATAAAGTCTGGCACAGGGGCCTTCTTGCTAAATTACAAAGTATTGGAATTAATGGACCTTTATTACAATGGTTTGAAAGCTATTTACTAGATAGACACCACCAACGTGTCACTATTGAAGGGGAAAATTCTGATTGGACAAGGATTGAGGCAGGGGTCCCTCAAGGGTCTGTTCCAGGACCCTTGTTATTTTTAATATATATTAATGATTTTCCGACCAATATTTCTTCAACATGTTTTTTATTTGCGGATGATTCTCTCTTGATGGATGAAGTTATTACACCAGTTTACACATCAAACAAACTTAATGGTGATCTTAACGTCATTTCAGATTGGGCCAGTCGGGGGCTAGTTACCATGAATCCCAAAAAGACTGAGAATATAATTTTTTCTTGTAAATTGGTAAAGCCCCTTCATCCAACTCTCATTCTTAATAATGAACCAATTAAGACGGTTTCGCAACATGATCACCTAGGTTGTTACACTTACTCAAAATCTTTCGTGGTGTCCACAGGTTTTAAAAATCCATCAAAAAGCTTCAAAGAAACTAAACATGTTAAAACCCTTAAAATTGAAATTGCAAAGGAAAACACTAGAAATTTTATACAAATCACTTGTTTGTTCGTGTTGAGAATATGCTGATATTGTGTGGGATGGGTGTTGTGAAGCCGACAGAGACCTATTAGAGAGTTTGCAATATGAAGCAGTACGTTTAGTAACAGGGGCCTTGAAAGGAACCCAGAGAAAAAGTCTTCTTAAAGAAACTGCATGGTTTTCTTTAAAAGAGAGAAGGAATAATCATAAATTAACTATGATCTATAAATTAATCAATAACTTGGTTCCTTTGTACTTGTCTGAACTATGTCCTAAATATGTAAAATCTAGAACAAATTATGATTTACGTGCTAATGATCATCTAATTGTTCCCTTTTCTCAAACAAAATCTTCAAGGATTCATTCCTCATTTCTTCTATTAATCTTTGGAACAATTTGCCTGAAAGTGTTCGCTCTAGTCCTTCACTTGATTGCTTCAAAAATAATGTAATTAGACACTTTGATACTTCAACTTGTAATCCTCTGTATTACGTCGGTGATCGTTTACCGGCTATTTTTCATACCCATTTTAGATTGTCAAACAG